CCACCCCTCCGCTCCCCCCTAACACTCCCCCACCCCGTTCTCCTTCCCCTAACACTCCCCACCCCGTAACACTCCCCCACCCCCGTCTCCCCTAACAACCAGCCCCAGCTTCTCCTCCCCTAACACTCCCCCACCCTTCTCCTCCCCTAACACTCCCCACCCCCGTTCTCCTCCCCTAACACTCCCCCACCCCCGTTCTCCTCCCCTGACATCCCTACACCCCGTTCCCCCACTCTCTTCCCTTAACACTCCCACCCCGTTCCCCTCCCCCCACTCCCCCACCCCCGTCCCCTAACCCTCCCCACCCCCGTTCTCCTCCCCTACACTCCCCCACACTCCCCCACCCCGTCTCCTCCCCTAACACTCCCCACCCCCGTTCTCCTCCCCTGTCCCCCACCCCCGCTCCTCCCCTAACACTCCCCCACCCCCGTTCTCCTCCCCTAACACTCCCCACCCCCGTTCTCCTCCCCACTCCCCTCCTCCCTAACACTCCCCCACCCCGCTCCTCCCCTACACTCCCCACCCCCGTTCTCCTCCCTAACACTCCCCCACCCCCGTTCTCCTCCCTAACACTCCCCCCCCCTCCTCCCCTAACACTCCACCCCCCCCCCTCCCCACCCCGTCTCCTCCCCTAACGCTCCTCCCCTAACACTCCCCACCCCCCCTTCCCCAACCCCCCACCCCGTTCTCCTCCCCTAACACTCCCCCACCCCCGTTCTCCTCCCCTAACACTCCCCCACCCCCGTTCTCCTCCCCTACACTCCCCCAACCTAACACTCCCCACCCCCTTCTCCTCCCTAACACTCCCCACCCCCGTTCTCCTCCCTAACACTCCCCACCCCGTTCTCCTTCTACACTCCCCCACCCCGTTCTCCTCCCCTAACACTCCCACGCTCCCCCACCCCCCTCCTCCCCTGTCCCCCACCCCGTTCTCCTCCAAACTCCCGAAACACCCCCACGTCTCCTCCCCTACACTCCCCCACCCCTTCTCCTCCCCTGACACTCCCCCACCCCCGTTCTCCTCCCCTAACACTCCCCCACCCCGTTCTCCTCCCCTACACTCCCCACTTCCCCCTAACACTCCCACGACTCCTTCCCCCGTCCTAACACTCCCCACCCCCGTTCTCCTCCCCTAAGCCTCCTCCCTCCTCCCCTACACTCCCCCACCCCCGTTTCTCCTCCCCTAACACTCCCCACCCCCGTTCTCCTCCCCTAACACTCCCCACCCCCGTTCTCCTCCCCCTAACACTCCCCCCCCCCGTTCTCCTCCCCTGAACCACCCCCCCCCCTCTCTCCGTCACCACCACCCCAGCCAGCTGACCCATGTCGAGCCAAAATCCCGCGCCGGACCCACGCCCGCGCTTCGCCAACAAACGCCGAGACGCCCACACCCGGCAGGGAGGAGGGATCGGTACGCGCGTGAGGAGAGAGGGAGAGGGAGAGGGAAGAGGGAGAGGAGAGAGAGAGCGATTTCTCGTACTGACGCGTAGCATGAGAGACTAGACTCTTCTCTGAGCATGGACTCTCGCGATGACCTCTTCGAGAGAGAGCTGTCTTCTCTCGATGCTCGTCATCTGCGTAGGAAGGAGTACTGAGAGTCGATCTCCCTCCTTCTGACCTTCTCTCTCTCTCTCTCCTCTCAAAGACCGTCAGTTTCATCTGCCACTTGTCGCGATTCCGCCCCCCTCGTGCGATTCTCTTCTCTCTCTCGATCGTCACTCTCGAAGGATCAGATTCTCTCGATGCATCCTCCTCGGTCTCTCTCTGCTCCTCTCTCTCTCTCATCGGAGATCTCGTCTCTGCGACTCTCCGATGCTAGCGTTTCACCGGCTCTGCACCCAGGGCTGCATTAATCTCCCTTTCTCCTCCCCCTCCCCCTCTCCCTCGCCTCTTCCCTCTCCTCTCTCTCATCTCTCTCCTCGTAGTCGTCTGCTCGGTCTCTCTCTTCTCTCTCTCTTGTCTCTCTCTCTTCTCTATTACTGCTGCTCTCGTAGAAACCCTGGCGGACGGTCGATGGCTCCATGCTCATGCTGCGTCTCTTCATCTCCTGGCGCGTCTCTCTGGCATCTGGCCTCCTTCGTGCTCTCGCGACCTGCTGCTCTCATCTCGATCTCTCTGCGCCCTCACCTCTGCGCGGGATCGGAGTGCCGATTCCCTGCCGATCCGGTCCCGGTCCCTTCCCTCCCTCGCGCGTCGCGCTGCGCCTCTCGTTCTCGTTCTCGAGACTGAGCTGAGACTCGTTAGTCTTCCATGTCCGAGAGGCTCTGAGTCGGCCTCGTCCTCGTGCCTCGCTGGTAGCGCCGCCGGCGCTCGCTCTCCCCTGACGTCGTGATCGGCCCGCCCCCCCCTCGCCCCGCGCCACCCACCACCCCCGCACCCCCGACAAGGAGGGATAGAAGACGACGAGAGAGAGAGAGAGAGAGAGAGATCGAGAAGGAACGGAGAGGTGAAGGTGGAGAAACGGGGAGGTGGATAGAGAGGCGGATGAGAGAGTGCGAGGAAGGAGGAGAGAACGAAAAGAACGAGTACGAGGAGGGAGGAGAGAAAGGAGAGTGAAAGAGAGAGAGGGAGAGAGTGTTGTGGTGTGGGGAGGAGGAGGGGAGGGCGAGAAGAGGAGAGAGAGAGAGAGAGAGAGGCGAGGAAGAGAGAGAGAGGAGGGAGTGAGGAGAGAGGTTGAGAGAGAGAGAGGGCGAGAGAGGTAGGAGAAGGGGGGGAGGAGGGAGGAAAGAGAAAGGGATAATGAGGAGGGGTAGAGAGGGTGAGAGACGTTGAGGATGAAGATTGTGAGAGAAGAGAGGAGAAGAGAGAGGACGAGAGAGAGACAGAGAGAGAGAGGAGAGAGAGGAGGGAGAGAGAGAGAGAGAGAGAGAGAGAGAGAGAGAGAGAGAGAGAGAGAGAGAAGAGAGGGGGGGGGAAAAGGGAAGAGAATGAGGGTGAGAGAGAGAGAGAGAGAGAGAGAGAGAGAGAGAGAGAGAGAGAGAGAGAGAGAGAGAGAGAGAGAGAGAAGAGAGAGAGAGAGAGAGAGAGAGAGAGAGAAGAGAGAGAGAGGAGAAAGGGGAGAGGGGATAGAGAATGAGGGAGCTTTATGCTTGTGTATGGCACACCAAGTGATACGAAGAAAAAGATAATACAAAATAATGGGAGAAATTTACATGGATAAATAAATAGAATAAATAGAGAGAAAAAAATATGTATTACCCATCCTTACTTTTACCATAGTCTAAATTTCCGTATAATTCTAAATATCGTTTTCCCTGTGACGCATTGAAAGAAAACGTATACCTCGTCTTCAGGTCAAACTTCCCGTATAATTCTAATTATTTTTTTCCTGTGATACACTGGACTTCTCAGAAACCTCTTCCTCGGGATTACATGAATACCACGACCTAAAGACGAGTATAAGACCAGCGACTGATGAGCCACCGTGGAAGATACATTTACTAGTTGTTGTCATAGCTACTGCGAAAAGGTAAAGCTTGATGATGTCCGAATGGTCGTGCTGCGCGTGATCTCTCCTACGAGAATGTGTCTGATTATGATTTCAATTTACATGTGCTATGTAGTACTGAAAAAAAAAGACACATGGCACGCAAGGTAGTTTAAAAAAAATGATATTAATCATAAACTGGCATACAGTTTCTAAATGGTTGACGATCCTCAATTTTCATGTGCTATATAGTACTGAAAAACATGGTACGCAAGGTAGCTAAAAAAAAAATTACATTAATCATAAACTGGATTACCATTTCTAAATGGTTGCTGACTCCTGATGTAGTTGATAGTTACAGGTTATCACATACGTACCATGTGTTTTGAATTTGAGTTAGAACTCTCTCTCACCCCTACTCACCCCTCTCTCTCTACCTTTCCCTTCCTCCCTCTCCATCCTCCACCTTCTCCCTCCCTTCTTCATTTTCCTCCTCTCTCCCTTCTTCCTTTTCCTCCCACTCTCTCCCTACTTCCTTTCCCAACATCCTCTCCTCTCTATTTCTCCCTTCCTCTCCCTCTCTCACTCCGCAGCCTAAAACGCGCAGTAGATTGTGAATCGTCCATGGCAGGAAATACCGGTCTGTGGAACTTCCCGGACTGGACATCGGCTGAATATCTTCGTATTCTTGGATATTTTTTGTTTTTTTTTTACTCCCGCTCGTTGCTTTTTATAAACATTATCATTTTAAACAATTGTTTTCATTTATGTTGCTAATGTAATTGTGTCCTTATCGAAATTGTTATATAAATCACAATTAACATTATTACTCATTTGACTTATCACATCAGTAAATAACAATAACGATAACATAAGAATACAACAGCAATAATAACACTGTTAATAATATCAATGACTAATAAAGACACAAAAAGAACAAGAACAGTAGCAGCAGCATTCAACAGGAACAAGAACAAGACAAAATTTATATTCAGACAACGCAAAACGCTGGATATTGAGATTCAGAGTGTTTCATCACGTTAGGCTTGCACACAGCTCATGCTTATTTGGGAAAACATTGTAAGTGAACAATTTGCACCGGAATTAAGTGGAACTGCTGATACGTGTAGTTTTCTGTATTTGTCGGTGTTATTATTGCATCATTATCACCCAGAGGTCCACCCGGCTCTGAATTCATATTTACGAACGTAACTACATACAAGAATGTCTCCTAAAATGGCCAACTTTCGTTCTCATTGAAGAATTGATTTTCCTTTTCTTTTTATATCTAGCAGCGACTATTTTATTTTCCCTTTCTTTATTCTTGTAATAATCTTTCACGGACGTTTTGAAAAATGCTTATCATTGCCACATTTTCGTACACCATTCTATTAAATTTTATTTTTAAAAGATGTACCCCCGAATTACGTGTGGACCAATCAGGTTAACAGGCGCGTAAAATCAGCCAATCAGAGCCGTTCTGGGTCGTGTTCCCTTGCTGCGATTTTCAAGTCTTTATTTTTTTTAAAGTGATCTCCAACAATTTTTCGCTCAAAACTGGCTTCCGTTATCCCCCGCCTCCCCGGATTTCGGAAACGTAATCTAAAGATATTTTCTCCTTATTTAGCGACAGTGGTGGCGCAGGCACGAAAGAAGTCACTGAGCATTTTCTTGTGGCATTGAATGATATATTTTGTATAGCATGATTAATTAATGAATTGCTTTTTTTTTAATATAAAGATCCTAACCAGAAAATCAAGTGAATTCTCTTTTTGATAAAATAAGATATATACACATCGTCATATGAACATAATGAGCCTAAGAAGATACACGAACATGTAAATTACTAGGATGAATAGAAAATTGAAATCGAATTAAATAAATGAAAATGGGAAATGAATGGATGACTTAAGATAACAAAATGATTAATGAATACATTTGATGACAAGTTGATAAGTTGAAAAAGAGCTTAACGTAGACTATTATATTATTAGCACGTCGGCACACACGTGCAGACGGTGGCGGTGTAACTATTATTATTACTATTATAAATATTTTTATAATTATCGTCAGTATTATCATTATCACTTCATATTATCATTCTAATTATTTTTGCCATACAACATTCTTATCATTATCATTGATATCATTATTATGTTTACCATCAGCGCCATCAGTCTCATTACTATCTGAATTACTTATATCATTATTATTATTATTATCTTCATCACTATGATCATTATCATTAGCATCATAATTATCCAAGCCAAACCCTCTTTATCAGTTTCTTATGATGTGAATATGTCGTTACATAACTCTCCTACATATATAGTTGCTATCACATTTGCGTATCCCGTATCACTATACTATGTAACTGTGCTATTATTCTTGCTGTTCTTTAATCGTCATCAATATCAGTACGGAAAAAAAAAAAAAAAAAAAAAAAAAAAAACGGTGTTCTGCGAATACGTGGTGAAACGAACACTCAATTTAGGTTCGTACACATTAACCGGAAATAACGTTTATTTGCGCATGTGTATATGTGTGACGTACCCTTAACCGCGAGAAACCAGATGCGGCTGGCGTACGCGTCACACCGGCCTTATTATAAATATTAGCTCTTTA